TTACCCACTCAGCTTATATAAAATCTACTTCAAAGAAGTTAAAATAAATGTAAAATTTATTTAAATTTCATATTTTTTCATTGTAGTCTAAACAACCACAATAAATTACTTCCTAGGTTGCTAGACTACGTTATAAGTTTGACTTTAGTTAATTTTACATTAGTACAATGTGTCACTTCTATGGAAGCACTATGTTATGACCTACTTAACTTGTACCAAATTTATTTTAAAAAAGTTATGAATGTAGAATTTATTTAAAACTAGATAAAAATTCTTGATATTAGATTTCTAATTCAATAAATAATTTTTTTTACATAATAGAATTTCATAGTTCTAAAATTTAAGGATCTATCATCCGATGGATATTTTAAAGAAAAGACTTGAAATTTTTATTTTTTAAAAAAATTATACATAGGATTTTTCTTTGCGGGATCGTGTACATGAGGAAATACATGACCCACTGACATTTTATAATGATAGTATTATTATTTAAGTTATATATGAGCTTGTAAAGTCTTATACATCTATATTGTAAAGTTACGTGAATATATACAGCAATTTATTTGATTGCCAAAGTGCCAAGTAAATAAAAAAAATGCCCGATCCTTTGTATGCTTTTTTATAATAAATAAATAAATTTGTTCACGAAAAAAATTTATTTAAATTTATTTTTGTATATTAATTATGACATTAGCCAATTATGAAATTTAAATATTTATAGCTTTAAATTAATTTATTAATTAAATTTGAAATCATTGTTATAAAAATTTACAGTTTTTCAAATAAATATTTAAAATTGGTAAAAAATATAATTTACTTAGTATAAATTGAAATTTACTATAAGACCCATATTTATTTTAGAGAAGTTCCCTTCAGAAAATTATAAGTAGGTAAAAGAATTTTTTTTTTCAAAATGATAAAGACTTCTTCTATTTTTAAATAAACAACGGTAATTAAAAAAGAAGCAACCAACATGCGCGAGCACCCCCAATTTATCATATTGTATAATTATACATTAAAATTCACTTTGTTAATTAATTAAAATTTAAAGTTTGGAAAAAGTTTATATAAGGTTGCAACCTTAAAATGTAGAATTACACATGCACCTCAAAATTTCCTCGGAAAAAGTTGTTTTAATGTTAAAAAAACCTATAATTGATCATCTCAACATCGAGATGTATGAATATAAAAAGAAAAAAATTTGAGTCCCAAAAATATCGCATCTTGCAATACATTATGTAGACCGTCCATTTTCAAGCATATGTCTATAGATTTGCTTGATTTTAAGTAGTTTTGGAATTTAAAATTTTATGATTAGATATGAAAATAGATTTTGAAATAATCCAAATAATTTGTTTATCAAAATTATATGCTATGATAAAATTTGGAGGTGCGCCTTAATTGGATTGTTTAAGGTTGCAACCTTATAGAAATCACACCATTTAAGTTTTGATCTTCCAAATTTTCTTATATAATGGAATTATTTTATACTTTAAATATTCATAATTTAACTTATAATATGAGAGTCATATGAAAATTAAAATTAATTATAACATATTTGCTCTGGAATTATTTTATATTTTAAATATTCATAATTTAACTTATAATATGAGAGTAATATGCAAATTAAAATTACTTACAAAATATTTGCTTTATATAAAAATAAATGGTTGTGGTTTCTATAAGGTTACAACCTTAAACAATCTATTTAAGGCGCACCTCCAAAAGTAGTTAAAATCAAGTACATCTATAAATATATAAAAATCCTAAAAATTAATAGTCTAGATAATGTTTTACAAGATGCACTATTTCTAGATCTCAAAATAATTTTTTTTCATATTCATACATATTGTTGTCAAGATGATTAATTACAGGGCTTTTCAACATTAAAACAACAGTTTCCGATGGATTTTTTATGTGCATATGTAATTCTACATTTTAAGGTTGCAACCTTATATAAACTTTTCCCAAAATAAATTTTGTTTTAGAGAATTTTCATTTAAGAAAATATAAATTGGTGAAATAATTTATTTCAAATAATTAAACGTTTTATTATCTTTTCCTTCAAATAAAGATAATTAAGAAATTTTAACTATAACTGTAGATTTTTAAAAAAGGGTTAAATTAGGGTGCTCACACTATATAGTATTTTATAATTGTACTCAATAAATTTTGGATACTTATATACTCTTGGTTTGTAATGCAATATTTCCAGTAAAGGTATTTTTATCATTAGGAAGATTATGATATTATCCATATGGGATGTGATATAACTCACATGTGTTTAATAGGGCTATAGCCCTATCAAAATAAATAAAGTTTCACCTTGTAACTCATAAAAATTACACTTTTAAGTATTGAAAAACCTTTAAATTGATCATCTTAACTTGAATATTATGGTTGTGAAAAAAATTAAGATTTCAAGTTTTAAAATAAGTATATATAGCAATGAATCATCTACACCATCCACTTCACCCCAAAAAACAAATACACAATATGTGCATTATTTTTTAAATTTCAGATTTTATTGTGCGCATAAGAAATTGATTTTACAGGCATGGCGATTTTGGATGCCCAAAGTGCTTTTCTTATGAAGATTTGAGACAAGGTTCTATTTTATTTTCACAAAGCCTAGGCCCTAGACAAAACTTCATCCTCTTGACCTATACGCGTACATATTAGTTCAGGAGGATAGTACAGTGGCGACATTACCCACAAAATATGATGGCATAAGAAACGAAATGACCGTTTGTTGGTTATTGGAAGCATAAAACCAGGAAGAACTTTTGCCAAACATATTATACTCCCTGAAACTATACTCTTTATTTACTCGCTCGGGTAAAACATCATCATAACCTCTTCAACCTTTAGATTAACCTACAAGAAAAATTTCTCTAATTGCACTATGCACCCTCTTCACACTTGAAAAAAATAATGTTTCAACATTGAATAGAAACCATCCAATTTTAAAAGTGAGATACGTCAAAAAACTATTTTAAATTTTTTCTTTTCGAAAATAATCATCTATGAATTTTAGGTAGTTCCTAAAATTTCAAATTGAAAAAAAATCCTCCTACGTAGGTCTTATGACGGAGGAAACAAAAATGAACTTCCCCCACGGGACTAAAGTATCAGTACCGAAAGGTTTTTATAAGGTTGCAATTTCTTTTTCTTTTTTATAAGGTTACAACTTTATACTATTGGAATAGTGCACGTTAAAAAAATCCTACAAACGAACGTATGCTTGAAATAGAGCACCCTCTAATCAATCATCTCGACCTCAAGATATATGGACATGAAGAAAAAAAAGAATTTCAAATTTAAAAAATTGTACACTTGTAACAAGTTATTTAGACTGTCTATTTTCAATTGTTTATTAATTTGATCGATCTGTACTATTTTTTATAATTAGAATTTTATAACTATGGATGAAAAATAGATTTGCAAGGCATCATAAAGTTTCTAACACTAAAACAACATTCTAATTAAAGTTTAGAGGTTTTCCTTATTTCTACAGTATAAGCAGGCAGCAATACACAAACCTTACCCATAAAACAATGAAGTCACAATTGTTAACCCAATGACAAACAGTACCACAAGCTACTGGTTCATGAAATTCATCAAAGGCAGGGCTCTCTCTCTTCCATTTCTGATATCCTTAATAATGTTGTTGCTCAATTGGTCCCATTTTCATCCAACATTGTTGTGTTGATAGTAAGTGGGGAGAGAGCCAAAACGACTTGCAACAGAGAGAACAAAGACATTCATCCACCTCGGTTAGGGTTTTCAAAGTACTTAGCTTTATAAATCAATCTCTCTCTCTCTCTCTCCCCTTATTCCTAGGGAAATTTTCCAAAACCCTACGCCTTTCCTTTTTTAAAGAACTTTACTCAGGATTCCATTTTCCTAAGATAATTTCTTCTAGAAATAAATTCCATTCCAATAGGGATCCCATCCCATAAATGTATGCATTCCGTGATGCATGGGGAAACGGATTTTGCCAAAATCTGCACCACTAATTTTTTGGATAAAAAATCGTTTGGGAATTGGAGTCATATCTTATAAACATTTCTTAAGATTTTGATTGTAGTGTCTATTTTTACTTTCTATTCTTTTCTACGTTTTTAAGTTCGTGGAGGTCGAAGCGCAAC